ATTAGCGTTTGTTTTTGTATGCGGGGTCTGGGGTAAAAACAGAGTCAATTCGTAGCAGAGCGAGCACGGCGTGAGTTACGAAAACACGATTTTGAAATCAAACTGTTACGATCTTATCGAGACAACATGCAGTATCATATTTCATATTAATATGAGCAAATTGTAAAGGAAATTAGTATTTTCGAGAAGGCGTGGACGAATGATCGCGAAAACACGTACTGCACGTTGTGAATAATAGCACCAAGTACACGATAAAAATCCATTACTAGCCAATTGCGGTATCCAATCAGGATAGAGGAAGAAAGTTTCCTATCCAGGCTTTACTATTGGAAACGCGGTTGGAAATAAAGTAAGCACTGGGGACGAGGTTGGTCAAGACCTTTTTGGTAGGAGAAAGTTAAAAGCATTTGTTTTTCTTTTTCATTCCCGTACTTACGGCTTATCAATTTACTGCTCAAGTCGGAGGTAGGTAACTGTCTTGTTACATGACAGTTTGCTTGGGGTGAAGCGTCCGTTTCATTAAAGTGGCACAAAGTCTGCGAACGAGCCAAATATGACGTATGTTTTTTGCATATTCGTGCAGCGAGGTTCCGGCAAGTAAAGCCGTGTCGGAATTACCTGGCTACAGCTTGAAATTACACACGCGCCTATGTAAGCCACTGCACATAATAGACCCGTGTGTGATATCCAGCCGTAGCAGTAGCGTATCCAGCTTTTGATGTCAAGGGGGGCAACCGCACATCCGCGCCGAAATGTAGGCATGTTTTTTTCCTCTGGACACTTGGCCTCCGTGAAATCAAAAAGCAGGGGGGGGGGGGGGGGGGGGGGCTAGGGCTGGTACCCATCTTCCCAATGGGGGCGCTCTTCAAAACTGACCATTATTATGTATACTGGGAAATATATGCCGATTTTCACGGCGCATTGTAATGGTTTTCGACCTGGTTTTCTTTTTGGGGGGTTGATGTCAGAACTCTCTAACCAATTATGTAAATACTTACTGCAAAAACATTATTCAAAAACATCCGCTAGGGGGGCAAGGTGCCCCCCCCCCCCTCTGGATACGCCACGAATGTTGTAATTCGTGTCCCTTCTAGGATAATTCTTCCGCGCTAACTTTGCCGTCCGCACCGTTTTTGTCGGATTGTCGTTGAACGAACTCATGCGCATATGCGATAAATGTAGATGGCGCTGAGTATAGTTTTCCCATGCGCCAAGTGACGGTCGTCATCTCTTGCCAATGCCAACAACCAACGTTCAAAAGGAATTAATTTGCTTACGCTATCGACTACAATTATCCCGTTTTATCGGGCCTACGTGCATTGTCAGATTGGCTTATCGAAACCACATGGCAGAAATGTTTAATAAACACTTTGAAGTAACGCCCACTTTGGAAATTGTTTTTTAAAAGTTCTCTTTTTTTCGCGGAAACTAGATACATCATGTAATGGCCTACGTGATCTATATCATGCCTCAACGACTTGAATGTTTAATGTTTGCACCACCTTATCAACAAACATTATCAAAGACAAGGGCTTTGTAACGACCATTAAATGCGGTTATGGTGAAACTACGTGATGGGTGCATAAAGTATGACAGAGATTTCATGTGACTTTCGGGTTCCTTGTGGGGGGGGGGGCGGGGCTGATATTAAAGGATGTTTCAATTGAGGTGTTGTCAAGCCACTGAATATCCGGAAAATGTGCCGATATCCACGGAATAAATATCATCCCAGGTGCTTAAACTTTACCGAGCACAGTCGGCAAATTTAAGGCTCACTGCAAAATAATACAATCTTGCATCACCTTTCTGGCTAAATGGCACCCTCTCAAAGCTAATTAGCTTTTTGGATTAAAATTGTAAATGTTTTCCAAATTCAAAAAGGTTGTGTAAAACAACCGTGTGCTAACGAAATGTCGGCGTTCCCGTTCAGAATGGATGCAAGATGCATCAACTGAAATATTTGGATGCTACAGCCGGCGTATGCACATGTCACCTGATATGTTTTCGAATAACACATCTGCAAGTTTTTCCTTTCCTTGTTTTATGCCGGAATATCGACGATGTTCGCCTCATCTGTTTCATAAAATACCACGGGGTTGTCTCGCTTGCCCGTCGCGGACGCTGTGTCCGCGTAACGTGTTAGGCGCGCGGGCCACCTGGTTTTTGCGCTGCGGGGCGTAAATCCGATCCCTTTCCCATCGGCGTGTGAGCGGGGAAAAGGGTAGCCTTTATTAGTTGAAATTTCCGACGAGGATCGTCTGTATACGGTCTTTTTGAGTTGGTGCCGGCACATTGTTGGTACATTCGTACGTGGGCGTCTTTGCTGTTCATTTCACGCAATGGGCCCCGCCCACGTCTCACCTGGCTAAATACTAGCGTATTGAAGGTCGGGTGTGGCAACGTATAAGTGGTGATGCGTTGATGTGGTGATAAGGCGATGTGAAGCGAGACAATTCAGATGATGTGACGTCATTAATTTCCAGCAGACTTTTCATGGGAATGCATGCATGCCACTCCCAATTTTCGTTTATTTTAATGACTCTTCAAACCAAAGATAGCATAATCCATGTAGCATATAATTTATATCTTTTGAATACGAAAGTTTCGGAGTGATGAGAATGTAAACCTTAGTGAGATATGCATACCTTTAAGAAAATTTAATAGTGAGGCAATAATACTGGTGGAAAACAATTCCATGTTCTATTTACTCGTGCTTATTCTGATTCAAAATAAACATGAGCCAACTTGTTACGAAAATACACAGCAAATTTAACAAAAATACTCTATTAGTTGCCTGCGTAAACATATAATTGCGGACTCAAACTTTTTTACAAGCGTTATCTATTTTCGAAAGAGACATCGAAGGAAAAAAAAAATCGGCCCCATTTATGAATGGAATAATATTACTTTACAAATTATAGGTATTGTTTGCAGCCCGACAATAATTCAGTACTCGTATGGTAGACTGGTTTCCGCCCCTATCATAACCGAAAATGTAGGGCCGGGAACTAGTCTATTCGCAGAGCGGATCTGTTTTGTTCGTAAAAGCAAATAAATATTAAAGCCTTTTTTCCAGATGGTTGCAGATACCGAAAATATGGGAAAGTAGTGTATTTTTGTTTAAATAAGGTAGAGTGTAATTCATAGTAAGCAGAAAATAAAAATCGAGTTTGTTGAAGCGCACTGACAGTACATCTTAATTTATTTATTTAAAAGTCCTCACACGTTTCAGTCTGAGGGTGTTTATGGCAAAAGGGGAAAAGGTGAAATAGCAAGACATATAAGGTTCTGAAAAAAATCCAAAGCCGAATACTCTTAGTCCGACGTAAAGCGCCATTAATGCACGACTTAACCTCTTGGAAACCATTTGGCCGCTTTCTATGCATGTTAATTTGACGGCGAATCGCGAACAACCTGACCGAAGCATTTATCTTCCTAACTGATTTTATAGGCTTTAGTGGCTTTTGACGTGTAACCAGTCAGTGGACGGTATTAGTGTCTCCAATCTACTCCTCCTAGCTTGGGTTTTCAGCCGTCAAAGCGGGAAAAGCAAAGTGGACATGTGGCTCTTCGCTGTCCAGAGTAATTGGGAAATATATCAAGGCGATGACAATGACACCGTGAAGTGTGAAATTTTTGTTCCGTAAAAGACGGACTCGTTGCTTGCATTGCGCATGTCTTAGTGGACATAATTAGGACAGTGGCAGGTCACGTGTCCATATAAGGTAAAAGAGACCATATTTCATTGGGAGTCCAAATTTCTTATGACACCTGTCTCACAGTCCGCAGCCATGCAGGAACTTAATGAGACCATTTCGAACTCACATCATTAATCGGTATAGTGACACCTTTTACGGGGCATCTTTATTGGTAGGATGTCGATTTGTACATAAAATATTTTGATGTTTTTTGTCACGCGACACAGTATCATTGCCATGTTAATTTCGCATGGCCAAATAAATCAGATTTCTTACAACAAAGTCATAGATTTATAGCTTTATAGTTAAAGATTTATAGCTTTACTATATAATCTTAATTTACAACGTCTCTTTACATGACAGAAGTGAAACATCAAAATTACAAGCAATTTTAAAATTATCTTATTTAAAATAATATATTGACCCTGTAAAACGGTGCGATTGATGAAAATATAAAGCAATAGAACACGTTTCGCGATTAGTTACTCAAGTACTGATTTGGACTGTTATATGAACATTCATATAACATTGACGGAGTACCTTTTTGAATTCAATTTAAACTTACATTTATTTCCATACCAAATGAGAAATATAAGCAGAGAATACACGAATAAGTAAACGAATAAGGTGTAAGAGGCGAACATATAGGTATGGAGGCATCCTCTAGAAGGCTTGTGGCGAGATGCCTTGGACGGACTAACACAAAACAGAAACAAGCACAAGGACACATGGACAGTTGGACCAAGACAAAACCTAAGCATTTTTTTTATTGAAAGGAAAAATAACAATTGCTGAAAAACCAAACGAGAAGCGAGCTATTGTTATATATTTTCGAAATACATTGCTTTAACAAGTTTTAAGAGAGGTATTCGATTATACACTCAACCAAAAAAGAAAGTCCCCCCTTCCATTACTTTTATGTCTAACTTAAAAACTACTGAGCACCTCTCGCTCAAATAACGACTACTCAGTACAGAAATTCCTTAGCAATCCAGCCATACTCTTTATTTGGCCCACAACAGTGATAATGTGTACGAATTTATGCAATTTATGACAAATGATACAAAAATCAGTTGCACTTTTGTATATACGTGCAAGTTGTGGTTCACACTCACCTTGCACGTATACAAAAAAAGGTACCATTTATCATATAGTGCATAATTTTGTACACATTATCAATGTTTTGGGCCAAATAAAGAGAATGGCTGGATTGCTAAGGAATTTCTGTACTGATCAGTCGTAATTTGAGCAATATGTGCCCAGTAGTTTTTGAGTTAGACAAAAAAGTATTAAGGGGGGACTTTCTTTTTGGTTGAGTGTAGCTGAATCCAATTTCGTCAGCCCGGTGGGATTGCAAGTTGAGACATACGTTTGAGGGGGAAAAAAATCGAACTTCTATTAAATATTCTGAACGATATTTACAACACACACTAACGATATTTTTTTATCTGCTATGACTTTTCCAGCTGCAGTTGTAGCGCAAGCTTAGAGGCTTCAAACAAATGAGGTGCACGCCTGTTTTCTTAAAGACAAGTTGGTGTTCATATTTCCCCTCTTTAAAATTTAGGTTCGTTGATATTATAAGAAGCTTAGTTAATATGTACAAGTAGTCCGAAGGCGCCCATATTCAATTTGAAATAGGCATCGTGAACCATTTTGATCGCTATATTCAAAGATAGCACAGACATTTAGGGCTCATCCTGCCAGCAGAAAATTCTTAGTTACGCCAGAATTGTATGATGTATATGATACCCATAGAGCAAGGAACAGTGCGTATTCCTCGCTTAGGATAGGCAGTGACGTCAAATTTGGCCCTGCACTGGTCCTTACTGTGCATATAGAAAAAGTAGCCCACAGCCAAGAATGAGGTTCAGCATTATAGAGGTAACACAGTGGTGGATGCAGGATTTAGAAAGTCGGGTTGCTGGGGTGTTGAAGTACAAGGTGTTTTTTTTTTCAAGGTGGGTGATGAGACGTTGCAGTCAACGAACAACGAACAAAGGCCTGAAGTCATTTGCAAATTGAGTGATAGTGTTATGCAGGGAACTTAAGGAAACGAGATATTTTCTAATATGTAAATTACTTAACATTGGTCAGTCGGGGATGGGGTGGTTAGCAACCCGAATCACCCCCCCCCCTTGACTCCGCCCATGGGTCGTGAGCTTTTTACCAATAAAGGCATTATGTTAGTTTTGGCCTTGGTATCAGTTGGGGAAGTAGTCTGTTAATCGGACCACCTCCGGTACATCCCCAACGCTCATCGTGTTGCACGGCCGGCATCTGCAGTCCCGTACCAGCCGCACCTCCGCGTAGTGATACGGCGGCAGTCGCTGCGGGCAATCGAACCGGACTCTGACGGTGCGGTACCCAACCTCCTGGCAACACTGGCAGGACCGCTCTATGGAGACGTAGTCCCTGGGTGACACGCGGGCGTAGGAGAAGCAGGTGCCCCGACAGCCGTAGAGGGTCAGCCACTTGGGCCGGCAGCCGGGCTTGGCATCCTTGATGAGGTGGCGAACCGTCAGCTTGCGGCACATGCTGGTCGTCGTCTGGGAGACGGAGCAAGCTAGGAGGAGCAGGAGGAATAGGGCGCCCCTTACGACGATTACCATGGAAACGGGTCTCTGATGTGACTTCATGCTCTCTCGGGCTCTGGGCCTGCGAAAGATAGATTTTAGTTACTGCGCGTTGCGAGTAATGCGAGGTACGTAGTTGGGCCAAAAAATGATAGATGCAATGATGGTTTTCAGTTGTGGATCTAGATGGGTAGGCATTGCAACCCCCCCCCCCCCCCCACCCCCAGCGGTTGACTAATGTTACGATACTAGTTATTAAAATGGGACCAAAAATAATAAATTGAATGCTGAAGTTCCTAAATTCATTCTCATCTCAAATTGCCTTAGAAAGCAGGAGAAAACTTATCGTAGATTTCACCATATTCCGTGGGCCAAGCCCCGGACCCCCCTAGCAGAGCTTGCCTTTGGCACTCCTTCACTCATCCTCCCCCTTTCATATAGACACTCCCCCACCCCGTTTCCTGAAAGCTAGATCCATCCCTGATGTTTATATATCTAAAACAACCGAACTTACAGTAAATATTTAAACTTAGAATTGATTTCCTGTGTAACAGTGTAATATATATTCCGATAGTTCACATTACCGTCTATTTATACCAAAACATGAATTTCATAAACAAATCGACGAGCGACACGAGGAAGAATAAAAAGCCTTACCCTCCTTAAGTGCGTAAGACGCGGTCGAAGTCTGAACAAAGGTAGGCAGCTGAAATCCCAGGGTCGCAGTTTGAAACGTCACCTCAGATACGGAGGCTAATAAGAGTATCTTTCAATGTCTATACTCGACTCCCTGCTTCGCTTCGTAGAAAAAAAGCAAGGTGTGTTTATAAGGTGGGTAATTAAGTTGCTACATTATCGATGGTGATGGTGTGGGGCGATCTTTGAAGGAGCAGCTGCCGCTAGCAATAGACGTTACTTCCAGCTAATGCCCGCTCTGTACGCCTCTGCACGGCCGGAGTGGCTGACGCGCATGCTGTACGGACGATCCGATCGCCTCCTTCCGGACGAGTCCAGTTATATGTGCAGGTATCGACGCCGCACGGTTTTCTCTTTAGTCCGTGCAGTCCATATAGACTCGCCCCAAGTCGGTTTCTATAAGTGTCACTTGAAATAATCCGATTCCAAAGGCACTTCGCGCGTTTGAAACTCATGATCATTGTTTTTGGTCAACATGCCACGTGGCCAAAAGTATGATCGGGGAATGGCGTCACACGAATCTGGCAACACAGGGGGGGGGGGATACATCACCGCTACATTTGTACAAGTGTAATCCAGTTCGATCGCAAAAAAGCCACTGCCGAAATTAATTACGTCTGCACCGTCAACAAACGATTACGTATTAATGTTGCGACAATATAATATACCCGAAAGAACCGGGTAGACTGGTCCCAGTGCGCACAAAGTTCTACTCCGTTGATTCAGAATGAAGTCTTTTCGTGCATCGGAAGGACAAACTGCGTCGGATTAAGCCCATTCATTGGCGTAACGGGGTAATCCTATGCAACAGCACTGCCCGACTCATAAGTGTGACGGGGAGTGAGTCAGTGAGTCAGTCAGTCAGTCGGTCAGACAGTCAACGAGATAAGCACAAAGTGAACACTGGCATGGTCCTCTTGGACAAACAAAAATGTATTCAATTCGCAGAGCACGTAAATTTGCTCTCGTCATACACCACATGTAGGATCAAGTTACACAGTTAACAAGTGAACACAGCTCAGATCAATGCTAATTCACTGAAGAATAACCTAAGATCCCATCAACTTTTACAGCTTTCTCAAAAGTTGATATCTATAAAGACGACTATATTGCCATTTAACTGAGCCTTGCCTTGCAGGAAGTGGTCGATCCAGCATAGTTTCAGGGTCAAAATGACACTTCTTGATCTTTTTGACTCGGAAACATTGGCAAAATTGTCGTTTTGACCCAGAAAATGTCATTTTGACCCTGAAAAGCTGACTAGGTCAATATGACCCGGAGGTCGAGGGTTCGAGTCCCGTCAGCACAAGCGTCCGATTGTTTCAAACACCTGGATAGAATGCAGTATTACAGTGCTAATAGAATTATGTCTGTTAAGTGTATTACGACTCTCCGCGCATGGAAAAAAAGAAGAAAATGTCATCAAAACTCATGGATCAAATGGGGTTTTGGCATAGACCAATATGTTACATTAATACGACTCTTTCTAGTTTCTCCAGTTATTGATTTTGTCATTCAACTTTTTTCCCCTGTACCATTTTTAGTTCGCGAAAATATTTACTCTGACTCTACAATGTTTGTTCCGAGAACTAACAGTGATGGGCCGTAGCTTGCGCCGCTGACGCATATATTGTTTGGAAAAAAAATCAAACAAACATCAAATTTTTAGCAAAATATATATGCTTTCAAGACCTTGCGCGGAGACTTGTACATGGGAATTGTCCATTGAAGAACACTGTTCGTGTATTCAATTTAATATAAAGGGGTATAAAAGGGGATGACGTTTCTCTGCAAAACAAACTATATTTGAATTTTTTGTGCTGGTTCCATAAGGGCCAGCATGACTTTATCTTTCTAGCCATCGCATTGACTGGCTGATTCAATGATTGTCATTTGGGACTTAGACTGGTATAGGAGACTGGTGAAGAGAACCGGGCAGTGTTATCGTATAGGAGTACTCCGTACCGCCGATGAATGGGCTAAATCCGGCCCACTGAGTACACCAGATACATGAAAAGGTTTCCAGTGAATACTGAATAGCCACGGTTGTTGAGTAGTATTTTGTGCGCTATGGGATCTGCTTTATAGGACTTGCCTTGTCTTGCTTTGTGATATTACAGAAACAGAAAACTCGATAAACGTTCACGATTGTCACGGGGTTTGGGCTCTACACAAGCAAAATAGCGCCGTCACATAATTTGCTAGGTACGGTCAGGCATTATGGGCAATGTACTGGCTTTGTTTTTGCAAAGTTAAGCAACAGACAAAAAAGGCCAGCGATGCAGGTAGATAGCCAACGTTGAACTGTAACAAAACGTTCCCAGCAAAGCAACCCATTACGGATGTGATTTTGGCTTTTGGAAACTTTTGATCTGGGCCTAATTGCAATCAGTGTCCTTTAATCTTCCTATCTATGTGAACGCATTTAACATTTCTTATAGTGTTACACATGGTTTTTCCATTCGGAAGTTCTTGATAAAGCGAATTATGACCATGTGAAATAATAATCTTCAAAATGGATAAATCATTAGGTATGAAGGTGACAGGGCTTACGTCTTTGACGCTTCGGGTTTTCGTCTCCGTGTTTAAAATGATTATGTATTAATAAGGTTCCATGTGCATTTCGTTATGCTTTTCAGTATCATTTAGACAAACATCATAGCAAAGAGTTTCTAATGATGAAGCTTGAAATTCCATGGACCGGTTTCCATTTGACATTTTGACATTTGACTGAAGATTTTAGCGTCCCAAGGAGCAATACCCAAATTTAAGATATGTAAAATATTGCATTAAAGTAAACGGGGAGAATTGAAGTCGAACAAGACTTTGTGCACAACCCAATGCACGCAACAGTTTGACATTGGTGTGCATGCTTTGTAGGGCGCCACCTTTTGAAATAACACAGGCCAGGCTGAAGGGTCAACCTGAAGCTTTTTTTCCCCTCAAAATCCCGGCTTCGTCCGCGGCTTCACCTCCAGCTTCGAGGTTACTTAGAGGGATTTAGTGACCAAACCATAGACATATAAAACCAAAAGGACAATGAATGATAAACCTTGCTATCATCTAATTGTTATTTCTGAAGTAGAACAAGGAGCCTTGCATATTTAGCGAGAGTCCCTAATCTCAATGCACTCAACTCTCCCGGATCCGCATCTGAAACGAAGTCGAGGTTTCGGGGAAAACACACATAGAAGTGCTTTCAAAGAAAATCACAGGAGAAAAAAATAAAGGCTGGTAATTAAAAAATGGCATGAACTGTTACACCTTAAAGGGAATTTACAACATTTGATTTTGCTGCAATTTTTTAGAAATAAATGGATTTGGAGGATTAGTATGCTATAGCAAATATTGTTAAACTGACTTGTTTCACGTTTTGGGCTTGTAGATGCTGGAAAAACCAAGAAAACTAATCATGTTCTTGTACTCTGGTTCCCTGACCCCACTTAAGATGAAAGAGAGCAATGAATAGACTTTGGGGAATTGTAAGGTCAATGAATCAGTCTAGCAGGCTTGTACCCCTTATCAGGTGTGTAATCAATTGCAAAGGAAATGCAGAATAACTAATGAAAAATTGGGGGCAGTTTTTGAAAAAAGCCAGTTTTCGCCAACACTGGTCGGCCGACCAGCGTTGGAAAAATACAGTTTTTCTTGCAAATGTCAGCACACCAGGAGCCACGATTTTACAGGATGCTTTAGACTGTCAATCCCTAACAATTCAGTAAGGTATTTCGTGATAATTTGATCATTTTGTTTTTTGATGTTTACAAATGTTGTATCTTCCCTTTAATAGTCAGTGGCGTAGCTACGGAGGAGGGGGGGGGGGGCGTGGGGGCGCACATCCGCGCCACCCAAGTTGAACCCCACCCCCCCCCCCCCCCGGAAATTTTGACCCGAAAACCTTGGCAAAAGTGTCATTTTGATCCAGAAAAGTGCCAAGCTTAGCCATGACAAGCGTCAGGTAGTATACAACTCAGATACCGGATCAAAGTTGACCACGGGGCTTTTTGGAGTGTATTTTCCAAAATGAAGGATTGGTTATCAACTGCCTTTTGCCCCATAAAATTTAGAAGAGAGGTGCGGATTGAACAGTACGCCGACAACCTCTTTCTTTTTTGAGGTAGGATCGTTTGCTTTGGGTGCATTTGTTTAATTCGTTTAAAGCAACAAAATTGATCAAGTTTCAGTTTGGAGGTTACTATTCATTTTGAAAAAACAGTGAAAAACATAAGCACGATTTTTGTGTCGTAACTAGCTGGTTTCCGTTGCTGACGTACGCACGTAATAAAGTGTGCCCGCGGTACTTTTTGAAAGCCAATGGTAATTACTTTCTTCCGAACGATAGCTATTCAGGCGGGATAATTCCACAGGTATTTGGTACCAGTCCCATCTTCACTTTCAGCAAGCTTTTTCTCATTAAATTGGTAGGCTCTTTTCCGAGTAATGACCACTGTTCCTATACGTGCATTCAATGCTTCATCCCACAGTAGTCTCGGCAGAACAGCTATAGAGAGCACTCACGGAGATATGTCTCAGGATAAGAATCAGTTACCATAAATAGAAATCAAATCACAACCACACAAATCCAGTTCTGTAATTAGTAGAAATTACCCTTTCAAAAATATCTCAACACAATATAAAAAAACTCCCTGGTGTGTAAGTGTGCACATTCTCCAAAATGTCAAACATTGCAACCTCTGGGAGATCGTTTCCGGTCCAAACCTTAGAGCCGTAGGACCCCATTGCAATTAATAATGGACTGGAGTTCACAATCTGAATAACCATAGAGCAAGGAAGCGCCAGTCCTGGGGCTACATGCTATATGGGTAACAAAGCGAGATGGGGGTGATTAATCTGCATGTGTTCCACCCATGGGAATGTTCTTCCGCTATCGGCCTGTGGATTTTGACGGATATGTCAAATACCCTCAGGCTGTCACAGCCCGACGGATTGATGAGTAAGGTCGGGACTTATGAAATGAGCGATTGCGAAGACGAAATATAACAGTAAGAATTTCTGACTTTTCTGACAACTTAGTTCGAATGTTATAAAACAAAAGCATGAAGGAATTTCACCACTCGTTGAATGTTATTAGTTGGCGATGTTTTACTAGCAGTTTGTCCAATCGTAGTTGGGTGGGAAGAAGGGGGTATCGTGCATCCTCGGAAATCAACTTCTAATCAACGTCTGTAGATAAAAAATAAATGAGTACAAAACGATTTGCTATGTTAAAAAAAATATCCCAGGTATTGTTTTTATGCAAATTAGTGCCGCCATTACCGAAAAATCTATTTTTCACTATATCTT